GATACAAGGGATCAAACCCTAACAAAACTAACTCGATTACATGGTAAATCTCATACAACCCATCACCGTCCAGCAAGCCTACGATGGGATTACTCATGCACGGTGGTGAGCATCATGAAATTGGTGATGGAGGATGGTTAATGATGATGATGGCGACGGATTCCCCTCTCCGGAGCCCCGAACGGACTCCAGATCAGCCCTCCCGAGGAAGATTAGGGCTTGGCGGTGGCTCTGTATCGTAAAATGTGATGAATCCTTCTCTTTGATTTTTTTCCTCCCCGAACGTGAATATATGGAGTTGGAGTTGAGGTCGGTGGAGGTCCAGGAGGCCCACGAGGCAGGGGGCGCGCCCAGGGGGGTGGGTGCGCCCTGCACCCTCGTGGACAGGGGTGGACCCCTTACATTGATTCTTTCGCCAATATTTTTTATTAATTCCAAAACGTGTCTCCGTGGATTTTCAGGTCATTCCGAGAACTTTTATTTCTGCACAAAAATAACACCATGGCAATTCTGCTGAAAACAACGTCAGTCCGAGTTAGTTCCGTTCAGATCATGCAAGTTAGAGTCCAAAACAATGGCAAAAGTGTTTGCAAAAGTAGATACGTTGGAGACGTATCAACACTCCAAAGAAACAATGCTCCCGCGGCACCAAGACGTAGGGCTTTTACCTCCTCTGAGAGGGGCCCGAACTCGTAAATCCGAGTGTACAATCTCACCGTAGGTAGACTCTGCCCTCTCCTACGTACCCCCTACCTCTACTGTCAGATCCGTTCCCACAACACAAGTAGCACACCTAGGGGGTGGGCGTGCCACCTAAGCTTGTGGCTCACTGGTTGGTCCCCTCCTGGTGATTCTTCTTCTAGTATTTTTATATATTCTAAAATAAATCTCCATAAATTTTCAGATTATTTGGAGCTCCAGAGAATAGCTATCTCTGTTATAGCTTTATTCAGGTCCAGAATGCAGCTGTCGGCAATCTTCCTCTTGTGATAAAACTTGCAATTTAAGAGAGAAAAGGCATTAGAATTGCATCTAAAATGAAGTGTAACTTTAAAACAATGTAAATAATAGTAGAAAAACATGATGCAAAATGGACATATCAATCTTCGCGTGGGGGTGGATAGATGGCATGCCATGAGCAATCATTCCGTGTGAACATGAATCTCTCTTTTCGTCTCATCTCCTAATTCCACTCTTTGCCAGATTGCTATTTTTATGAGCTCAACCTTCCTAAGGAACACATTACACGCCATCCTATTGGCGGAGCCTCGTGTTGCCGTCATTATTGCCCCGTCGTGATTATTTCACTGACAATATGTATAGGGGTGTTGATACTTCTCCAACGTATCTATAATTTGTGAAGTATTCATGCCATATTTACAACAATTTTATATGGTTTTGGTATGATTTGAATGGAAGTAACCCGGACTGACGCTGTCTTTAGCAGAATTACCGTGGTGTTGTTTTTCGTGCAAAAATAAAAGTTCTTGGAATGGGCTAAAAATTTATGGTGATTTTTTGGACCAAAAGAGACCCATGAAGCTTCGAGGAAGGACCAGAAGCCTCACGAGGAAGCGACAAGCCTGGGGGCGCGCCCACCCCTAGGGCGCGTCTGGTAGGCTTGTCGCTCCCTCGTGGCCCCCCTTGACGTGAAACCAACGCAAAAATGCCTATAAATACCAAAAACCCCAGAAAGAAACATAGAACTTCTGCTCCGCTGCCGCAAGCCTATGTACCGAAGCGATCTCATCTTGAGGCCTTCTCTGGCACCCTGTCGGAGGGGGAAATCATCACCGGAGGCCATCTTCATCATCCTGACGGTCTCCATGACGAGGAGGGGGTATTTCACCTCGGGCCCGAGGGTATGTACCAATAGCTATGTGTTTGATCTCTCTCTCTCTCTCTCTCTCTCTCTCTCTGATGTTGTTGATTTGGCACGATCTTGATCTACCGCGGACTTTGTTAATATAGTTGGATCATATGGTGTTTCTCCCTCTCTATCTTGTTGTGATGAATTGAGTTTTTTACCTTTGAAGTTTCACTATTATCGGATTGAATACTTCTTGGATTTGAGAATACTTGATGTATGTCTTGCATGTGGATACCCCTGGTGACAATGGGGTGTTCTATTGATTCAGTTGATATATGTTTTGGTATTCAACTCGCGGATTATCGTGACATTGGGGTAATCTATGCATAGGGGTTGATACACATTTTCGTCCTTCTTTCTCCGTTAGAAATCTTGGGGCACTCTTTGAAGTTCTTTGTGTTGGATTGACTATTATTAATCTGAGATTGTTTGATGCACATCAAATAATCAACTCACGGATACTTGTGGTGACATTGGAGTATCTAGGTGACATTAGAGTTGGTTGATGTGTATCATATGGTGTTATTTTAGTACGAACTCTATGGCTATTCATGACACTTATATGAATAGCTCAATAGATTGATCGGAAAAGATAACTTTGAGGTGGTTTTGTACCCTACAACAATTTCATCTTATGTTCTTTGCTAGATAAGAATTTTTGAGTGATTTGCCGCACGTTGAGAGATTGTTATATGATTCAGTTATGTTAGCACCATTGAGAGATCGCACTAGTAAAAGTATGAACCCTAGGCCTTGTTTCTAAGCATTGCAATACCGCTTGTGCTCCGTTTTATCAATTGCTACCTTGCTGTTTTTATATTTTCAGATTACAAAAGCCTATATCTACTATCCATACTACACTTGTATCACCATCTCTTCGCCGAACTAGTGCACCTATACAATTTGCCATTGTATTGGGTATGTTGGGGACACAAGAGATTTCTTGTATTTGATTGCAGGGTTGTTTGAGAGAGACTATATCTTCATCCTACGCCTCCCATAGATTAATAAACATTATGTCATTCACTTGAGGGGGAATTGCTACTGTTCTACAAAACTCTACGCTTGAAGGCCCAACATGAGTCTACAAGAATAAGTTGTGTAGCAGACATCAAGTGTTTTTGAAGGACGATGTGTCTATCGAAAGGTATAGATGGGAGTACGCACAAAGAATTGTGCAGATGGGCCCTTGTTGGAGGAGGTAAGAGCATCTCCAACGTGGACCCCTCAAAACGCTCGCAAACATCCGGACCGAGGTTCAGGCGCTGCAAGCCATCCAACGCGGAGCTCCATCTGTCCACGGACGCGAGCGCTTATCCAAAATTCCACAAACCGTATGCAAACTAGAGAGAGCTACCTCGGTGGCCGCAGCGGTCGAGGCTCCTCGTCGTGAAGCATCGTGTCGACGGAGGAGAGGGTGGCCAAGGAGGCGACGTGGAGGGAGCGACGCAACACGGCGCGGCGTTCGTGAAATTTGACGAGGCACCGAGCTGGGTCCTCACAGAGGCCTGGGTCTGCGACCGGCTAGTGACCACCACGGAGAGGTCCGCGTGGCAACTGCTTCCTCGACATGGTGCTTGCCAAGATCAGGGAGGAGAGGTCGCTTAGCGACACCTCCATCGTCGCCGGCAGGGGAAGGGTCGGCGTTGGCCGAGGCGGCTCTCCACACAGTGCATGAGGAAGCCGAGCGGCTCCTCCACGAGCGCCAGACGGCGGCCAGGCAGAGTTGTTGCGCCCCCGCGTCCTTCCGCCGCTGGAAGGACCACTTCGGCGACGACAACAACGACGATGGCGACACGGATATCGACGAAGGTGCCGCCGGCCAGCCTTGCCAGACGTACGAGGTCACCGTCCACTACAAATTAGTTTAGTTTTTTTTAAGTTTCAGTTGAACGGATGAAATATCATCCGATTTGTGTAAATTATGTCCGAACCTATGTCTATTTGCATGAATTCTGCAGTGTTTGCATGAATTGTGTCCAAATTTGTTTGTATTGCAGACAGATATTGGAAATGCCCTAAAGCCGTCTTGGTGTTGCCCTTCTATGTTTCTGACGTATCCTTGAAAAAAAAATAGTACTCCCTCTGTTTACTTTTATAAGGCGCTATAGACATTTCAGACAGTGTGTAAAACAGCTTGATTGGTTGTCTGAAATGACTTATAAAAGTGAACGGAGGGAGTACTTAATTTGATCTTCCGATATGTAGCTTTTTTCTTTTAGACAATTCCGTTATGTAGCTGAACATGCAGGCTACTGATTTTCTTACATGTAACTAACTTGTACTAACATAGTGTACAATCGAAGTTTGATTGGCGAACAGATTTGTGCAAGCTAAATTCGGATCCTGCATAATTATTGGATGAATCACGGACACATATTTTTAAAACAACTTTGGCAAAACCAAAGGTATGCGTAGCATAACCAATTCCTGGGGTGAGAACCTCGCCAAGCATTAGCAATTGCCATTTGATATTAAGTCCAAACAAAACAGTCAACACTTGCTTGACAAGATCACCTGAATGAAGCTCGTAAAAGGAATACACGAACGCCACTGAAAATTAGTACATCCACATGTTAGTATCTGTTTTTGAGAGATTAAAATATTACTTTTTTTAGTATAACTATATGCAACATAACAGTTAAAAAAACTATATGTAACATAAAATTGTATTACGTGTTTTATTTGTTACAATATGTCTCTAAGACTACTGAAAATCCCGCAACAACGTGCACGTCATCATCTAGTTACCATAGATGAAGCATTGAGGTCTCAGGAAGTGGCGAGCTATAGTTACCATAGATGGAGCACTCCGGGCTCCGGAAGTGGCGAGGCATCTGTCACTGGTATATCGTTTCCACCTCGATGGCAAAGTATGTGACATGTCACATCTAGCAGTGGAGATGTAATACCACACACAAGGCCAGGCCACCAATCACAAATAGCAAGTGATAAAAGTATTTAAACAAACTGCTCGAATGCCACTGCATACTCAAGCTTCCCATTACACGGAACAACATTATTCAGGTATCACAATGTCAGTGCCAACTTAATACCATGATTTACGACCATTTATGCTTGTTTCAGGACACCACCATCACTCAATGTGATTTACACACAAATCAACAGCTTAGCTGCCACGGTAAGTGGTAAAGGAAAAGGGAGAATGCAAAAGAGGAACATGGAAATGCTCGGTCGTCTGGCTTCTTTTTATCTCAAATATGATGCTCACGTAAGGGAAGAACCCTGACGGTGCATACTTGGAGGTATTGAAACTTATGCGGTAGAAACCAGGGGCGACATTGTCAACGATGTCCATCAGCTGACCGCTGCGTCCATCATTGTTTGTTATCGAAGTGCCTAGGGTTGTCCATCCCTTGAATTCTTTGTTGTCAAATGACGGGGGACTTGACGCGTCCTTCCACATCTCCAGGTGAACTTCAATTCCAGCTGCTGGCGATCCAAGAGCCGTGTCCAGCACATGGGTTGTGATAGGAGGGCGTGTCCGGTTGGAGCTACCTGTAATTTCAGGAGCTTTATTGGCAGAATGCTGGGAAAGAGCTCCAAGGTGTGCACCAATAATCCGCATCCGATCTATTTCAAATTTTTAATGAAGCTTAAGAAAGCAAAATTACCAAAAGTTGCACAGATATAAAAACTACTATTGATAGTTACACCGTCACAACTGCACAAGCAAAGTACACAGAACAATCCAGATAATCATGGAGGTACAGACTACAAACAATTCTGGTGCAAGAAATTGATAATAATCCAAGCCCCAAATAGAAGAAAAACAAAGATCCATGCCCAGGAGTTGTCTTTCCAGTGTGCAATCAGCAATGACAAACTATTTTCATGGTGTTAACTATTTTCAAATGTTAAGAATGAATCTTGCACTTTATCTCTTTCATGTAGACTATAGTTTCTATTTGTCAAGAGATAATTCAGTTGCCTTCAGATAAACAAACAAAGAACCACGTTATGCGAAGTTATTGTTTGTAAGGTAATACAAAAGGTTATTGTTTGTAATAATTGCAATAGTAGATCTTTATTTAGTATCAGGCATTGGCAAACACTAGTCAGTATTCTAATGTTTGCAGATTAGATATACCCCTATGGGGCGCAACCTTATTTTCAGCTCAAAGTGAAAAATTACATAACGTCAAAACAATTCAACTGGTGCCTTTGCATGTACTCCCTCCGTCCCACAATATAAGAGAGTTTTGCAAGCTAACGTAGCTTGCAAAACGCTCTTATATTGTGGGACGGAGGGAGTGGCAGTGTAGCACCAATGTACGGAAAGACCAAAAACACATTGGCTTCGTTTGGATATGTATGTATTGTGGGGCTTGGAATTTGCATCGGGTCCAATACCAAATCAACCTTTGTATTGCAATGGGCTCCAATACCAATACAGATGTTTGGATATACAAAACATTGCAGGTTGAAATTGCTCACTCAATTGAACTGGCTTATGAAAATGGAAGAACAGAAATTCCAGACTTGGTAGCACTGAACAAATAGACCAATAAGACACCGATCTTAGGAAAGCACGAGCATGCGAGGTCAATATTGTTCAAGTTTCAACTATAGGATACATAAGAAAAAAAGGTGCAAACAAGTGGATAAAGAAGAGCAGATGTCTATTTTACCACAGAACGAGTCAACAGATAATTCAATACCTGCTGCTTTATCCGGTTGGCTAATATGATTTTCACCTGAAGTAGGGGGAGCAGCAGTTTCTGCTGAGAAAAGCTTTGCAAGACGCAGCTCAGTTATCTTCAGTTCTTCCTCTGCCGCAGCCTCAAGCTCAACAATTGGCCTATTTGCATAACGCCTCTGGAAAGAGAAGCAGGATGATAAGATAACTCAAAAATCATTATAGAGATAGAAAGCAAAACATTGTATCAAGGCTTTCTAGTAATATGATTTTGTGATCAAGTCATAGCACGCGCAGTGCACTGCATCAGGGCTAAACTCAAAATTAAATACCCCAGGTGATACCAAAAGCCAAAGGAACATAATTAGTTCCAATACAAAAATTCTGGCCCATCGAGGAAGGCCACTATTGTCATTCAGAAAACAGCAGTTCTTCCATGCTTATGATTTTACTGGTATTCCACAGATCACAATACCGTAACACCTAACAGAGAGGGGTAATAGCAGACATTTAAAGACAAACCACATTACTGCTGCGCGAACTGTTGAGATGACCTGAACAGGCATACATGTCAATTACAGAAACCAAATATAGGAGTTTAGGATAGACATATGCAGACCTTAAGCTCAGCTAAGACCTCAGGGGCAGTCCTCCCAGACGCGCATATCATGAACACAAACCCAAACTTCTCCCTGTATTTGGCATTCCACTCGGACAACTCCTGCAAAAGTTGCAAGAAACTGAATTGAGTCCACAAATCAGATCACAGATGCAAGGAACACAGTGAACAGCATAGAACCTGCGCGGTCGAATCAGTGGCTGTGGAAAGCGCAGCTGATTGCTCTTCCTTGCTCCACCTGCAGTGACTGACGATCAGTGACAGCAAGAAGCGAACATTACTGAGGCCAGCAGAAGTAGAAGTAAGGAAACCGACTTGGAGACGGATGAGGAGGTGGTTCCAATGGGCGGGTGGGCAGCGAAGGCCTCCAGCCATCCAGTCACGTCTACCTTGATTTGTTCCACGCCGATCCCGATTGCACGCACATGAGCAGCATGTATCAGTACGGGAAGTGAGGGGAATTCAGACAGGAGGATGGCCGCGGGGAAGAGAGATTCAGAGATCGAGAGCTACCTACCTCGTTGAGCCAGATGCGGCGGGCGGTGAGGAGTGTGTTCGCGAGAGAATCGAAGGGGGAGGCAGCGGCCAGTGCAGCAGCAAAGCGGCGGCTGCCGTTCACCCTCAACACATCCTCCACAGTCAGCGGCCTCAACGTCGCCATCTCAACTGGTTGATTTGCTCCACTGCGCAAGACAGTGTGTTTGATTTCATGAGAATTAGAGATGTTGAATGGGAGCTGACGGGTGAGAAGGTAAAAAGTGCACTCATTGGTTAGAGGAAATGGGAGTTTAAGGCTGTGTTTGTTTGGGGTACCCAAAATCAACAAGATAGTGTTTTCCTACACAATGCATGTTCATGTCAAACAGGACACACAATACATTCTCAAATTGAGTTGTGTGATTGTTTTAAAGAAATGCCTGCTGGAGGATGAGGAAACCTTTTGAACGATTTTTGAATATACAGCGTCCATATCACTGAGCTTTCATGCTGAATATATAGTGTTTGTATCATCCCAACGATTTCTTAAGCTGCTTCTTTACATAGTTTCTCCCAGTCTTTGCTTTTAACTCACTCATGAAGCCTTTATAGCCAGCGGAATTTAAGGACCTGGTTGGCCTATTTCCATGCTTTACTGGTGCAGCGGCACACTCACAAAAAGTTACGGTGGCCACTGGGCTCTACCATCTATATAGCCAATTATCAATTTGCAAATTTCTATAAACATATGATAATAGTAGTACCAGCCCACATTATTAGCAGAGCACACCCAAGCTACACAGCACACGCACAGACATGCACAGAGCACACGCCAAGCACATGAATCATATATATGTTGCTTCGTTTGGTTTGACAAAATCACTTGTCCTGATTACAAGAAAGACTAGTAAAGGTGAGCAGCAAGACTAAGCCAAGGAGCATCCTCAACCTGTATTTTTACTAGTAATGTATGAGGTCAGGTACACTGGAATTTAGGTTCAGAAGCATTTCCCTGTAAGGGTTATGTCACCCAAGATTAGTACACTCTTGAAATGTATGTTGTGATGAATGAATAAGTTAACTAACACATCTCTGAAAAAATGAAGAGAAAGCCCATTCTTAATAGCCTCCCTGTGATCACTGCTCTGTATACACGCACTGCACACGCACAGACATGAGAGGAGATTGAGTTTAGGGGCGCTACCTTGGGCCTCGGTGCGTGGTGGCGAACGCAGAGGCGGGAGAGGAGTTGACGAGGAACGGCGAAGCAGGGCGGCCGGCGGCGTCAGCGTCTAAGAGGAACGGGGCGGCTGGGTCGGTGACCTCGGCCGTTGGGCGTGGAGGAAAAAGTGAAGCTCGGGTTGGGGGGGTTGGGGGCGGGTGGATCCGATCCACCGCCGGGAGGAGCGTAGGGAGTCTGGTCGCCGGAGATCTCTCGGGTGGATGCAGCTGCGGGATGAGAGGATACCAAGCCCCAGTGAGTTCTGTCGGGATCGGGCGAGGAGTCTAGCACATGCCCTATATGAGCATCTCTAGATGTGCTGTAATCCAATCGTTATACAGGCCTCCCGCAAAAATATTGCATGCCGATAACGTCGACACGTGTGGTATACTAGACATCCGTCAACATATTATACGTGGCATGAACAGGAGACAGCCCATACGGGCTGTGTGTGGACGAACATTAGAATTGCTCATGCGTGTGGGCGCAGCTACTTCGTGTCATGCGTCCAACAAGTAATACTCATCTCTATCCCGCGCGTGTTGCACGAAACAAAAAATACCCACATGTCCTGGCGCAGTTACATTAGGTACCCGCGGGATGACGATTTAGTTGTCATCTGGGATGGCAAATATAGTTATCCGGGATGGCAAATGTAGTTGTAAAAGCATAACAACTTTATCTGTTTTGGTTAACTATAGTTGTCATGTCTAATTTATGGTAGTTGCTGCGTGTAATCAAATCATAGTTGCCGTGTGTGATTAACTACTTGCCACATATGGTCAAACAATAGTTGCCATGTGTGTTTACCTAGTTGCCACGTGTGGTCCGACCATAGTTCTCATGTGTGTTTATCTGGTTGCCACGTACGCGCAACTGCAGTTGCCGTCTAGCAACGAATCGTAGTTGCCATGTGTGTTTACCTAATTGTCACGTACGCGTAACTGCAGTTTGCAGTTGTCATCCAACAAACGTACGGGTGCGGTGTGGGCGAAAAGCGGTTCACCCACATGCGCGTGGACTAGGTGTTGGCTGTGTGGGCGAACAAGCAGAAACTAGTTCGCCCACACAACGCAACTGGCAAACCGTGTGCTGCGGGGCGTGTGGGCGAACTCTCCAACGCCCATACACCAGCCCGTCGTACATGGCACACAAATTATGCCTCAATGTGTCAACATTCGTGCAAACTCGTGCATGTGGACGAGTTGCAAAACTACCACACGTGTGATCGTTAGTATTTTCAAAAATATTTGCAGCATCAAATTGGCTTTGCCACACTGCAAAACCGTACCCAAAAACGGCGAGTACAAAAAGACGAACAACGAGGATCCGCCACTGCTCGGGCAGTCCGCCTACTCCGATGACTCTCTGGCGGCCGTTGCCGAGCTCCTCCGCCTGCTTTGGCGACGCTCCGGCCATCCGCCTACTCCAGCGATGCTCGAGTTGCCACTGCCGAGTTCCTCCGCCTGCTCCGGCGACACTCCGACCGTCCGCTGACGAGCTCCCCTGCCTGCTCCGACGTTGAATGGTTTAAGATTTCAATATACGGGGACTTGCAAAGCGCCTCGAAAATTGTAGATTTGAGGTATGTAGGGGATAATATACGGGGAGCTGCAAAAAAAATCAGGGTCAACCATTTTACTGGATCTATACTACAAATTTAGATGTTTGACCGATTATAGCGCATCTGCTAGAGATGCTCTAATCTTGTCCGTGCGGTTCGCTCTAAAGTTATTTTGCGGGTAGTTAAGCCTCGTCGCAGAACATATCTTACAAATTGCACACTAAATTTAAAAACTTATAAACATAGTTTCGTTCCCTGGCGGTTTTTTTGGAGCACACCAAATACATAGTTTCGTCTGGAGCACACCCGAGGTCATCAACACAAGTAAACTAAAAATATAGATAAAAGTAGCTCGACGTCAGGGGCGGTGGCTCACGGAGACATTGAGGTAGTAATCGCACGCCGACTGGTAGAGGATGGTGGCGAGTTGGTACTCCTCCGCATTCGGCGGCGCCCTCTTCGACAGCCTCCACCGCATCCTTCGCGTTGTGGTGCTCGATCTCCGCGTCGTAGAGCCTCTTCATGGTCGGACAAAGCTGGTCGTCGAGCTCGTTGAAGCGGCTACATGCGCCTCGGCCGCTACGGGAAAGCGCGCCGTGTTACCGCCCCTGCACCGAGTGTCATGGCTTGACAGTGGGCTGGCTGGAGCTGCCGACCACCGCGTCATGCGGGGCGCGCTTGCGCGACGGTGACCCGCCGCGGCCCCACATCCCCGAGCACCTCCCGCCATGGATCCTTCAGACCGCTCACCGGAGAAACGAAATGAAGGTGCCGGAGGGGAGATGATTGCGGTGGAGGGGGCAGAGCTTATCCAAG